AAAAAAAAAAAAAAATATATATATATATATATATATATATATATATATATATATATATATATATAAAATTAACATACATAAAACCCTAATGTGCAAATATAAAGACATGTAAATTATAGCGAATATAGAGACACACATTTTATTACAAAAAATATATTTTTCAACAAAATTAAAAATTACCTCTAAAGTGCTATGATTAAAGGTGACCATGTCTCATTTGATGTTAAAAAAAAAAGTGCATAGTTAAAAAACAAAACATAATTCATCATAATACAATGTTATAATTCATTTAAAGTGGCAATGTATTAAATATATCAAAAACGTTTATTAAACTGGTTTCAGTACTATGTGGGGATTACGTTTGCCCCTGATTTGTTCTTTTGGATGAGTGCAGTTACTCAAATCTTGTTGATATATCAGATCAGCAATATGTCTAGCACATGGCTTGATTCAATTCATCCAAATTCAGCACACACTTATTATGCTATCACTCTAGTCTTTCCATCTCACAATTTACTATATATTATTTACCTACCTCTAATCCAGGTAATGATATTTCTATATAGGGGCACAGTTTGCACACAAGACACAAAATGTGGTATTTTTATATACCATACAATGTCACTACGAGGAATGTATTTCAGAGAGATCAGTCACAAAACACACAATATTGTAGTGAATTGAAAACCTGTTTGTAAAATGTAGGCTAAATAGCCAAGCTGTTGGTACAGCGGGATTGGAGATTTTTTTTCCAAATCAGCTATTTTTTTCCCTACCTTTCACAATATGACTTTTAATTTAGCTCAATGTTTAGTGCTTAAGCCTCTATACACTTTACCTTTAAAACATTAGGACATAGACGTTCACCTATAACAAAACACTATACGTAAAACAGGTTTTTTTAAATCCATAATATAAAACTTATTCTACAAACGTGTGTATCAAATATATATCTTAACATATAGATCACATCTGATGTAAACTGATACATTAATGTATTGTATAAAAACTAGTGAACTTCAGTATTAACCCAAAAGTTACACGAAATATGAAACAGGATTTTACATAATTTAGGTATGTCCACTATGAAACAACAAAAAAACTATAAGTTTATCTCAAGTCTTCACTGTATTATATAGGCAAAGAAACAAAAAAATGAGACTAATTTCATTTAAGTCACTGACTGCCCCCTCTCCCAATACAGCTTGATCCCCCCCCCCCCTAATGGTCCTAAAAGCACTTTCTACTTACAGGATGTATGAGGCTGCTCCTTGTCTTAAGCAATGCGGAGCAGACTCTGACTTTCATTGATATTTATTTTGTTTGCTTTCTGAATTACCCTCCCATTTTATTAATTGCTTTAAAAAGTGTCTCATTAATTCTATAGCATGAAAGAGCCGATAGCTGTCAGTTACATGGCATGCTGCCTCTGTTCCTAGAGGAGGAAACAGGGACACTTGTAAACAGTCACTAAAGACGTAACTACAGTCTTTGCAGCCACACTTATCTATATACTGAATTTGATAATTGAAAGGTTACTAATCATTCAACTGTAATGAAAGGGAAGTTACCCTTTGTCCCCCCTCTGAACCTAGAGTCTTTGTTAGCTACCTTCCCACCTGTGGCCCACATGTTGTATGTGGCTGCGAGTGCAACTTGCACATGCTCAAGTGGAGGTTTTGAATCTTAGCATTATCAGGGTTATTTACGAAAGTGAGAGTTCAAAGTGAATCAAATTTAAGACCAGATTTGCCAAATTGAAAGCATAGCTGACTTAGAGAATTTTTCTTTCCAGTTGTCTTTTTTACCTTACTTTTGAATTCACCTCGAATCCTCACTGTGGCAGACCACCGTATTTTCACTGCTAAGTATTTCCTTTCCCGTAGTGTAATAGCTCTTTCCAGACAAAGTAGTGATTATAGCTGGTATATATTTCCCCCCATAAATTAGTCGAGACTTAATGCTGGTTAGTAGATCTAGTTTATTCAGGCAAAACACACAGAATTTATACAGAGACCCCCAACATGGGGTCTCCATTCATGGACACATAAACACGCCCAGGTTTCTCTGTGTCTGGGAAATAATTGAATTGATAACCGGAAAACTAATTATCTCCCGAATACAGAGGGTTCAAAATACAAAAACCCAGAAAATACA